CTATATCCAGGCTATTTCGAGAACTCTGAAAACCAAAACAACACGGAAAGATGGTTTACAAAGTCGAATTTATTGATCGCTACATTGAAAAGTCAGTGAGGGAAAACTGTGATCTTGATCGTCCAACAAGTCGTGTGTATCTCTGTTGGATAGGCTATATAGATTCGGATTTTCATTTTTGTCATTTTGTAAAGAGTAGCATAAGTAGCTACATGTTTTTAAAATAGCATCCGTGAATGTGTATTCTACGTACAGCCGACCCTTTCACGTACATACACGAAATTCTCAAGACAGTCTACCTTATTATGTTTGCTTTTCGAAAGGCGCTTTGAACTATAAATAAATCTGGTAATAAGAAGGTGACAAACACATAACATGAAATTGACAAGTAACGAACCATTTCCAGTTCAATGACCTCTAGTAGGCGGTACATGATTTAGCGGCTCGTTCTGGCAGGCTCTTTTTTTTTCCGCTCCGCCTCCCCACCCCCTCCCCTTCCGTTTTCCCCCTCCCCCTTCCCCTAGAGCCGCCACGCAGGCTATTCGAAACCAAGACCATGCTAGCAGTTAGATTGAGAGAGATTAAAAGCAAAGAATCTACAGTCTTGAATGACTTAATAAATTGATGAAACCCATGGTTGAAACAAGTATGGCTTTGTTGAAGATGACCTTTGAACGATAATTTATCGGAAGTTCGATAATATATATAAACAATATATTTTTGTATACAGTTTTCTGTGATATGTGAAGTTCGAGTAGTCCDGKTTCAAAMATCGATTATTGAAAYAATGTTGATTATTGTAAGCTTACGTAGACTACTTTTTGCCGAGAAGCTTTCAGTTTACTTTTAATCAATTGACCTTAATAGATTATAATTTTAAACTTCATCCAACAGAACAAAATCTACCGAAGTCAATATTAGTACGAACTAAATTCTCATAAACATACTCTTTATAATATTTGTTCGCATGTCAACAAAACTGTTGTAGCTCACATTCCTTAGAACAGAGCATCTACCTTTGAAATAGCAGTACTAGATAATAATTTTCAGCTTCTATATTGCTATTGGAGCTCCGCTATTAGGTGTTACCTAATACTCCAATTTCGAGTTCTGGTTTGCTCTGTGTTAGCCTCAAAACCAATCTTTTGTTTCATTGATAGCTCGAGAAAACGCATGGAATTTTGTGAAGAAGGACAATAAATTTGATTTGAAATCTCACACTTTTACGCTCACAATAAGGAATATTTTGCGCACAAATGAGGCTAACACAGAGCATTGGAGAATTCGAAACTGGAGTATTTTTATATTATACGTGTGTGGTGGTAGTACAGTGTACGTCAAAATTCAATTATGCTTTTCATTGTGATTTGTGTTTGTTATCAGAAAATTCCAAAAGGAAAAGACCACAGTCGTCACAAAACAACGGAAAACAATCTACCAATGGTAGAAAAGCTAAGTCAAGACGTACAGCTAAAGATAGTCAGCCATGTGGTAAGATTGTACATGGCAAAT